CAGGAATGGGTGAAAGTGAGCAGGCCGAGCATTTGGCATGGAAGTGTTTGTGTCAGCAAAAGTGAGATACAGAAGCAGGGATGTTGAGAGTGAAACCATGAAAAATGGCTGTTTACAGACACTGCACTATATTTGTAAGTGGTATCTTACTCCATTGTTTACAACTACATCTACATATCGAATTACAAAGGACTAGTTTGACATTTTGGAAAACGCACTTTGCTTGCCAACAGAGCTGGAGAAGATCGATACCATTCTGTTAGCAGCATGCCATTATAAAGCTGCAAGCCAGCAGCTGGTTATTAACTTTTATGGTAACCATGACAACAAGACTCAATTAAGTCGCTGTCAAGAAATGCTCCCACACAACTTTCCATAAAACCATATAGTTGTTACACTTAGATTTTCTGTAGAATAAAAAAAAGAGATGTACATTATTAAATAGTGCTTTAAAGGTGCTTGTAGAGTGATTTTGTTACCATGGGGCCACCCTTGCTAGACGTTTCAGTTTTTATGTTAAGATAACTGTCCTCAGAATTCAGAATGTCTCACACAAGACTCATGAAACATCCATGAAGTATCTCTATTGCTGATCCTAGAGGGTCACGGAGGTGCTGGAGCTGATCCCTGCTGACATTAAGTAAGAGGCAGGTACACCCTGGACAGGTCACCAATCTATCACAGGACTGACACATAGCGACAGACAGCCATTCACATTCACACTCACCTGCATGTCTTTGGACTGTGGTAGGAAGCCAGAGGACCTGGAGAAAACCCACAGAGACACAGGGAGAACAGACACACTCCACATGGCCCTAGTCAGCCATTAGAATAAGTCTTTTCCCTGTTATTAATCTTTATGCTAAGATAACTATCTCCTGGATGTATGCACAAACATCAGGGTGATATTGATCTTCTCATCTAACTCTTGGCAAGAAAGTGATAAAGTATAGTTTCCAAAAATGTTGACCTGTTCGTTTCAAAGTATGCAAAATAAAAAGATAATAGACAAAATAGTCTAACTGCATTAAAAAAAGATCAGCTCCGCGCCCTGATAGCTGAATGTTACGGCACAATGTGCTAGGTAGCTTCTGCTCAAGAGCCTGTGCTCATTTCCAAGAAACACAACAACTGCGACGTTTGTGTCGCGCCTATGGTCGGCTCCAGAAATTAATTTAACTGGTGTGGTTTGAGATGGCAACACAACAGAGAAATACAGCCTTCTGTCTGACATTGAGCCATACAGTTATTTACTGAGACAGTCAAACATTAATCCTTGAAAGTGGATTTGTAGCTAGACGGATGTAAATATTTAGATTAGTGTCTGACCTACAGCTGAGCCTCAGGCAGCAGGCGAACGGATAACATCATTCACACTGGAAAGCTTTCACTCTTTGAATAATCAGTATATAGTCAGGGCAGTGTTGTGGTATATGTATTACAACATCTTGTTCAATGCTCTGAATATTTTATGACCAGGGCTACAGAGGGATTTAGGAACCAGACATTCATTTCCAGATTTGCACAACTAAACACTGAAAATAATGTTTGTTTGCAAAGTGAAAAGGGCACCGGCTGGTTTGAAAATACACGATTCCCTGCTCATCAAATGTTCGGCTGTGAACTGTGAGAAACATTTTGTGTGTGCGCTTCTTTAACTCACTTGTTTGGCACCTCTCTGCTGGCAGATGAGCTGAATAAATTAATGATCTGATTACACACACAGGTTTTTTTTTTTTTGGTTGAAACTAAAAAAGGTTTCTATTAAGATATTCTCTTCTCATTGGACTATTTTGCCTAAAGCGACCAATTATTATGGCTTAGAGAAGACCTGACTCATTCCTCTGTGCCTGTTTCATTTTACAACTTCCCTGAATAGCGTATCAGCTTCCAGTGGGTCCTTGGCCTTTGTTTGGAGAAAAGGAAACAACAGCTGTTGCTTTCACAGGCTTTTCTAACCCGGGGTCCTTGGAAAGAAAAAAAATTTCTTTAAAACAAAAGGAGAAAAGTCCACATGCCGAGAAAATGGCTCCAAATCGGCACCACCAGTAGACATCTCTGCCACCTACACACTTTCTTTTTTTCCTCTCTTTATTTCTGTCTGATAAACACAACCACAAAGTATTTTCCTCTCTTTGTCCAGAGGAGGAACTCGGAGGTCGTTCTTTCACCTGTCTAACAGCGATGAAGGACGCGATCAGGATTCCCTCCAATTACTCTGAGCCGCCTGTC